TACCAGGTTAAGAATTTCTAAGACGGATTGAAATTTCTAATCTCATCAGATCAAATCTATAGTTAGTAAAAAAAATAAGATAAGGGTTTTATTGAGAAAGGTGACAAAGTGGAAAAGGAATCCAGTCAAGTTTATTGCTGATTGAATGAGGACTGAGGGAAGAACAGCAGCAGATGCAGTGATGAGATCACAGAGATCTTTAATCTCTTCTCTGACCAAACACTGCCACACTTACCAGTGGCATCATCAAGGCTTCCTATAGGCCAAGAAAGTGTTCCTCTTCCCTATATTTACTCTAAAAATAGTAGAAGTAGTAGCAGTAATGAAAAACTTTCAAGTTAGTATTTTTTCCCAAGAAAGCCCTAGCTGAGAAAAATTTTGTTTCTGATTGCAGTTGGGTTTTCCTGGTCAAGTTGAGTGTTAACCCATTAGAATAGTTTGGTTACTGAATATTATACTACATAAAGAGGCCCACTTGCCAAAAGCTGAGTTTAGAGAGAGAAAGAGAAAGAAGGAAAAAGGAAAGAGATGGGTTAGGCTGGGAATAGAAGCTGGTTTATAGCCTTCTGGGGGGGTGTTTTTCAGGTTTGGTTTCAGTTTTATTTGGGAAGGGGGGAGGTGTTATTGTGGTGATGGAATTAGAAACATTGAATGGCAGGGCCTTTTGGGAGAGGCAACAGTATCAGGTTTCATTGTGGTGGCAGAAGCACAGACAGCAAGAGGAAATTGGGAAGCAAACAGAGGGTAAAGAACCAACAACCCACTAACAAAAAAGGTGTCCTCCATTAAAAGCTGGAACAGGAAAAGCACAAGGACCTGAGTCTGGATCCTCGAAGGAATCATCATCAGCAACAACAGCAACAACATCATCATCCTCGTCAGCATCAAAATCTAATTCTAAATTCAAGTCATTTAGGAGTAGAAGGGGCAGAAGAAGAAGAGTTGCCAGGAAACCTACAGGAAAACTTAATTTCTCACCATCAGCAATATCTCCAAGAAACCCAATCTCAACAACAACAAGGCCAACATTTGTATGCAAGTCTGGACACTCAAGTCCTTCAACAGCAGCCACAAGAGTATCCACAACCACCCAGGAAACGCTATTATTTCCCATCCTCTTCTTCTTCAACTTTTGGTTCAAAATCAACCGAACATGCGAGAAAAATGGGAGATAGCCACCACCAAGCTGCAACATCGTCAAGATTGGGGATAAGGCACACTGGAGGCGAGATCGTTGAGGTCCAAGGAGGTCACATTGTTCGATCAACTGGAAGAAAAGACCGTCACAGCAAAGTTTGTACTGCCAAAGGTCCACGAGACCGACGAGTCCGTCTCTCAGCTCACACTGCTATCCAGTTCTACGACGTCCAGGACCGCCTTGGTTACGACCGTCCTAGCAAAGCTGTGGATTGGCTTATTAAAAAAGCCAAACCTGCCATTGACGAGCTCGCTGAACTACCCCCTTGGAACCCAGGAACTTTCACAAAACCGAATAACCAAGAAGACCAAAACACAACAACAGCAACTGACAATGATAAACCCTATCAGTTTGACATCCACCACAGTGGAAACCTGGTGGAAAACCTTGCTACTGGGTCTGGTACTCACAGAAGAACGGCTATACTAATGGGAAACGAAGTTCAAAGTCTTCAGCAACAAGAAATGGGAGACAACCCGAATAATAATTCGAGTTTTCTTCCGCCTTCTTTAGTTTCTGATGAGATTGCAGACACAATTAAGTCCTTTTTTCCGTTGGGAGCTTCCAGTGAGACGCCTTCTTCTTCTATGCAATTTCAGAATTACCCACCAGATTTGTTGTCCAGGACCAACAGCCATAGTCAAGATCTGCGGCTTTCGCTTCAGTCATTTCCGGAGCCAATTCTTTTGCACCACCACCACCAAGCTGCTACAGCTCAGGCACACCATAGTGAACCTGTTTTATTCTCTGGAACCAGTCAATTATGTGGTTTTGATGGGTCTTCTGCTGGATGGGAGCACCACCACCAACATCCGGCGGAGATTGGAAGGTTTCAGAGATTGGTTGCCTGGAATAGTAGTGGTGGTGCTGCTGATACTGGCAGTGGCAGTGTCAGTGGTGCTGGTGGCGGTAACGGTGGTGTAGGAGGATTTATCTTTGGCACTCCACCACCACAGCCTCTGCCTCCCGCTTTTGGCCAAAACAGCCAGTTGTTTTCTCAGAGGGGACCCCTTCAGTCCAGTAACATGCCCTTGGTTCGTGCTTGGATAGACCAGCCAATTTCCACAGCCGACGAACACGAACACCATCATCATCAACATCACCATCAAATCCCACAAAATATCCATCATCAAGCTGCATTATCTGGCATTGGATTCACCACATCCGGTGTATTCTCTGGATTTCGCATTCCAGCACGAATTCAGGGCGAAGAAGAGGAGCACGACAGCATTGCCAATAAGCTGTCGTCTGCTTCCTCTGATTCTCACCATTGATCGAGTAAAAATTCGAGAAAAGCCAAAGTCTTTCCCCTCTATCAGGTTTTGTTTTGTAGTTCCTCTTTCTTATTTCTATTTAGATTTTAGTGAACAGCCCAATTTTTATCTTATGTTGTACTTGCAAGCCTTTCTTCTTATTTAAGTGGCCTTTCAGGACTAGTTGATTGTTGACTGTGAAATCAATGAGGAGATGTTATGATGGATTCAAGACCAGTTTGAGGGAAGATTTTGGTCACTTTGAAACAATGGCCTATGCCGTGGGAAGAAGAAATCTGGGTGGATTTCAGGTTATTCGATCCCCGGTTTGTTTAGTTTTTATCAGTTGATTGTGTTGTAGCTTTAATCTTATATTTGAGTGGGCTCTTGGGGCTCAACTATGGTTTCTCTTTTTGTTGGACTTCTGATGTGTTTCATGTTACTATACTTTTTGTTTGTGATGTTTTTGTTGGTTGCTACTGTTTCCTTAGTTGCAAACCTTTTTTTTTTTTTTTCTTTTTGAAATTGTTAAGATTTGAATTCTGATCACGAAAGCTAAGAGTCTAGCATTTTACTAACAGGTCATGCGGCTGTTGTCAGTGCAAACCTAGTTTGTTCCCTCAATTAGGACACTCATTTAGCAGAAGCTGGCATTCTGTAGAAAATTCTTATGAATAAGGTACCACAGATCAGCTAATATGGAAAAGTCTTTCACAATCCTATATCCCTTTGATCTGATATGGAATTAGAGAAGCAAGCCAGAATCTTTCATCTGTTTAAAAATTGTCAATATTTCATGTAGATGAAAGAGAGAGTTCTGCTTGTGATTTTGTTTTGTTGCTTTATTGCTTTCTTATAGAACAGATTGTTCCACAGCAACTTCCCTAAACCTGCAAAAAGAATTGAAAGAATAGCTAATCTTTTTACATCCCTATCGATGCTTGGCATTTTGGGGGCATTGAAAGAGAAGTCATTTTCTGTGAACAGTAGGATTTGTTGGATAGAATAGAGTGGTAGCTGATTCCACATCCACTCTTCCCCTGTATGAAAAGAATTGATAATTTGAATCCAAAACTTGGTCCTGTTGGTTTACGCAGTCACTTTAAAAAGTAGTAGCTTTGATATTCAAATTCTAGCATATGAAAATTTTTTTCCGTTATTCCTAAGTTATGATCTCATTTGTGTAAAAAAAAAAAAAATGAAGATAATTTCTCCCACTTAATTTACAACCTTGTTCTTTTAGTTCCATTTTGCTCCATGTTGCTTTGTTTTAGATGCCTCAGCTTGCAATTAGCCTAGTTTGAATGCAAAGATCTTGAAAACAACAAAGAATTCTAAACAAGGCTAGAAATTGAAAACCCAATTTATCATAATAGTTAAAACTAAATGAAGAATAATCAACTCATCACCATCCTTGACATCTCAATTGCCAAAATTAGCAGAATTATATAGCCTATTGGACCTGTGTTACTTCAGCTCCTCTAGGCTGTAATATGAAAGATGGAATTGGTCTAAATTAACATGTCCTGAAGCATACATTAGCATTGAGACCAGGTTGCAAAGGAACCTAAGTTCATATACTTGAGCAATCAATGAGCATGCTGGATAAATTTAGCAAATAGACCAAGTAGGGGCTAAGTGGAGTGCATCTGCAGGAGGAACCATGAAAGAGGAATGGGATGAATACAAGAAGTTCAATTATGAAAGAATAGTAGAAATACACAATAAGGTTAGATACCACCAAAATTTTGGTTATTGCCCATCAGTAAATGGTCCCCCCACTGGTGCCTAATAAAAATATTCTTACTTTCCTTAGTAGAATAAAAAAAGATGGACCCATATATTAAAAAAATACTTCCTCTTCTATTGATATTTGCATTTTGGTAGGTGGTATTAAAAGTGGAGATAAAAAGATTTTTTTTTTTGAAAGAGATAAAAGAAATCTTATATCTTTTAAATTTTAAGTTAGGTATCAACTTAAAATATACTCAACTTAAAATCAATCGATATTAGATCACATATGTTAAATTGAAGGTAATTTAGGTATATAAGCAATGTGATCTGCATACTATCAATTGATTTGATTTTAGATTGAATGTCTATCTTAAAATTTAATATGATATCAAAACTAAGTTTTGTTCACGTTCATTAAATTTTTTGTGATAGGTGCATTATGTGTACAATGCAAAATCCATGTGGTATGATAGATCTGTTATGTTTACACGTGAAGTTCATACCATATGATGCGTATGTTGTCCTTATGTTGCATTATACTTACAATCGAAATTCATGTTACAAGATAAACTTATTGTGTTTACACGTGAAATTCATACCATGTAATAAATTCTCACATCTGTTCAAGTAAGAATCACTTCACTTATTGTCAACTAATTTAAATTGAATGCGGTCTTAAAATCTAACTGTTGATACTTCTTTATAGTAGTTGAGGAGTACAACTCCACAGGTTATATAAACATTAAACACTGCATACTATTTTAGATGAATGGTTATTAACACAAACAACAACATAGGAAATCAAAGTACCCTGCCTTTTTCTCAACTAATTTTATAATATAATAATATATAAACTTGTACAGTGGATAATTAAAGCTGGGATTTTTCAGACTGTACCAATAAAAATTTTGAGGTGGAGGGGTGGTTGAAATGTAGAGCTTCTTGTTGGAATGTAGTTGGGCTTTACCTATGATGCATAATGCAATGTAGCAATGAATAATTATATGAAATTAATGCACAATGGAATAATATGAAAGTTAAAAAAAAATTGTGTTTCATCCTCAAATTTCTTGAGGCAACAAATCCTGCCTGTTATTGTATGCATTGCATTGCAAATCCACACAAATACAAAAAGAAATCATATTGAATCACTCATCATTGACAAGCCCCGGGGATATCTTGATTTCAGCCATCGGTTGGGGCAACTTTTTTCACTTTTGGAGCTACTTTCCCATTTGGCAAAGCAGGTTTCAGTGAGGATGGAACTTTCATCTCCTTCTCTGATTTACTTGACTGCCTGGCATGAGTTTTTCTTGGGTGGATTGGCTGAGAATGAACCCTGACCTCCCAAGGCCTTGCAGCTATCCATCGCTCCATCCAGCTCCAACCCCAGTTTTCTTTTCCCAGACCATACGATGCTTGGCCAAGATATTGGCTTGCATTTGCCCGCCACTGCGAACCAACACAAATGATTTTAATTCCATCATAACATCAAAGTATTAAACTTGAATTTCACAGCTAGTAACCTGATGGGAGAAGGCGTAAGCCATTGCTCGTTCACGCTTAACTGCAGCTTCTTCTCTTTGCTGAATTCTGGAAAGGATTTCCTCCATAGTTTCAGAGCCACCACACCATTCTACCTGTAAGCCAATATACTGTTAAACAAAACAGCTAAACTACTACTTGAATCACGGATATCAGCTTCTCATTTTCTTTTCTTGCTCGGCAAAAAATAGATTGGGTCAGCTACAAGCATTCAACCACCAGTTATTATCTGCTTTTATCCAAAAGTTTTACGATTTTGGCCATAAAAAAAGTCTCGCAAATACAAAATTAAGTCTCTCTCTCTCTCTCTCTCTCTCTCTCTCTCTCTATATATATATATATATATATATATATATATATATTCTGCTGTAAATCCTCACAATATCGCCGAGATTGGGGTGCTACACACTCCTTAACTAGGTAATTAGAAGTAATTAATAAAGTAGGTAACAATCATTTTTACCTCCAGCTCATGAAGCTTAGCCTCAAGTTTGATCTGATTTTCCATTTTCTTTTGCTTAAGCCTGCCTTCTGTAACCATACATATTCTCCGGGCTCTGATTTGAGATTGTACATTGCACCAGGAATGTAAATAGCTTAGTGTGCTTGATGTTTGCTTTTTAACTGTATGTCCCTGGATCAATATATTGAATCTCCCAGCATCCCTTAAGCGGCGAACTGCTTTTCTTGCCTGGAAAAATGTAATAAAAAGAATAAAATCATTAAATCGCAGACAAGATGGAGATTATTAAGAACAATACTACAAAATCATATTAATCGAATGTTTATTATGTATGAATGTATGAGCTTGAAAATTCTTAGGATGTAACCTTTCAGGCAATGTGGATTAGATATAAATGTGATGTTTTGGTCCAAATATGATCATCAAATTCAAGCATCAGCTTCAAATTATGCTAAGGTTGTTGGGAAAACAAATGTTGCAAAAAGAAGCCTGGGCAGTAATGACTCTACAGATGATCATACATGTCAATTGCATTTTTGATGTTGATATGAATAACATCGCGATAGATTAGTATACCCTGTATGCGCGAAAAGCCTTCTGAATTCGAGCGGCAGCCATCTCTTCAACTGGCATTCCAGGAAGACCAGGACTGCTTAGTGAACCACCAGTTGTTGCTGGACTCCTAGCCTCTTCTGGAGCCTCATGACTCCCTTCACCACCACCATTTGATTTTTCATTAGCTGAGTGTACCTGTATCGATGGGGTCTGAGAGCAAATTAGAGAAGAAGAATTACAGAAACAAAGATCACAGTATAGGCTTGAAAGACTTGAAAAACATTTAACAGTATGTTGACAATTATCAATAGCAACATATCAACATTTAATAGTGTTTAACTATTCTACCTTTGGTTTTTTGGTGTCTGACTTGGATTTCTTTATACAAATGATAGATCTAAACCAGTTTCCTGAACCCATCGATGCTTACCAAGATGCAGAACTATAGTTTAGAAACTGATGAAATAGACCTGGCACATAAAATCTTCTTGGCTGATTAGAGAATACCTCATATATATAACTGATAGGTGCACATTGAAAGGATGGGGGAATGTGAAGAATCAAAGAACTAAACTTTTGAGCAGATTGATCACAAAAACAAAATATTGATATCATCACTACAAATTTCTAACTTACCTATGATAAACAAGGCAATCAAGACATTCCTAGAGAGCTCGAAATCGAATGATTCAAGCAAATAAATTAGCAGTTCCCGTTACTATTTAGAGCATGAAAATACTAAGATATAAATAAGCAAACACAGAAACAAAAAGACAATAAAAGTGCAGGCTATGAAAGCAAACAGACCAGGATGAAGGAACAATATGGGACTTGGCAGAGGTTGTGGTGGGGTGTTGTTGAAAAACAAGTTTTAGTGCAATGCAAGAAAAGAATAAATGGAAAAAAAATAGGAAATGTGCACGCATGGTTAAGGGTTCACTCTCTTTGAACGGTACATCAAATGACCGCTTAACCAATTGACACAGCTGTTTGATCTTTTGGAGGATCAACAGTCAGTATCCAGGAAGCAAAAAAAGTTAGAAGGCAAAGAAACAAATAGATCTGGCATTCTAAAATGATACAATGTTATCTCATGAAAATAATAGTAATATAGCAAAAAAATAAAACACTAATATGACATGATTTAAAATTTTAGTATTAATTATATATAAATTTAATAAAATAAAAATATATATTTTATATTTTTTGTATGAACATGAATTCTAACATATAATTTTCTTAAAAATATAATAAAAATACATAAATTTGAATATTTTATAATATATAAATACACTAATTGTTAATTTTAGAAACAAAAAGTCAGGAGTTTCTCAAGGTAAAACAAATTGTCTGGGCCTTTGCTAGGATACCTGGTTTAAGTTCGCTTAGCTTGCAAGGCTCATCAAAAGTAGCACATCCCCATCATTCCTCAAAGTTTTGGCAACTTTCTCCTCCAGGTTATCCTAGGATCAACTGAAATGAAGAAACAACATTTCAAACTTCTCTTAGCATTGAGATTTTTTTCACTGCTTATGGCAACTTTTTTTTCCTGAAATAATTTATTTATTTTAACTTTTTTTTTTTTTAACAATTAGTGGTGGAGTTTAAAAAATAGATGAGGCTAGACCCTCACCTTGCTTGACAGCCCACAATTGGGCCACGAAAATTTTTATGAAAAAAATAGTTTTGTTTGATTACAACTCCTTTAAAATTGAGGGTCAAAGTCCCTAAACAATTCAGCCCAGAGGTTTCATTAGGGCAGGCATTTGAGCTTCCATTTCTTATGAAATGTAAAACGTATTTAAAACCGACAGGGATTTCGCCTAATTGACAAAATTTTCCATTTCTTTGAATCATACATGTGGGTCAATTGTTACTAACTACATCAAATTGCTATCCCCTAAGATCTCTTAGGTTTAGCTTCAGATTTTGTTTTCCAAAAATTGAAATAAAAAATAGAAACACTATTTCATCATGTAGCTCGAAAAAATTATATACTTCCCTCTTCCCTCTTCCCTTTAATTTTCCTTCAAATTTCTTTTTTTTTTCCTTGGAGGAATTCTCCTTGAAATTTCGTTTCTCTTAAATTATTTAACAAACCAACCCAAGGAGGTTGAAATATATCTACTTATTAATAAGATTATGCCGTTAAAGGTGTATAGCTACTTTACCTAATTAGCCTGTTTATTGTTTATGCAAAGAACTTGAGATCCAATCCCGTTTTCATTACTGTAAGAAGATTATGAGATGAGAGAGTTAACATTTTTTGTTTGTATTTAACATATTATGATTTGAATTTTAATTATTAAAATTAAAAGTTCAACATTTTATTAAGAGATCATATAATTATTGCGAGATATATATATATATATATATATGTTTTTTTAATTTAGCAAGAGTACTCATTAAAAAAATTCCTCTATTCTCCTAAATACTTCAATATCTTTAATAATCCAATGTTTTAGTTAATTATAGTATAACATACTTCTTAGGCCCACAATATTAATATACTTTAAAGCTCAAGGGTCTACAAACGTACCCTCAATTATTGTTGAAACTTGATGTCTTCAACTCACATCCACTTGCCATTTTCTATAAAAAAAAAGATAATAATGGATATCCAAGAACTCATAGTTCATACAAGCAATTAACAACAAGAGAATAAAAGAAAAAAAAAAAAGAACAAAAATGAAATATGCTGAAAGAGAATCTTATTGATAGAAACCCTAAATGGGGTCCTTATATTGTATTTTGTATATCTAACAAAATTTTGGCATGTTATATGACAAGAAGGATGTTATCATCAATGAAAATCAAAGATAGAGAGGGGATGGGTTTATTGAAGGCAAAAAAATTTGCTTTCTCTACAATAAATTAAAAGATGGTTTGTTGTGGCTAAGGTGGGTCCAAAATGGAAAGGTAGAGATAGGATTTGCTCATTTGGCATGAATAACAAGAGATCTCAAGTTTCTATCTATATCTTTGACCTCTCAACTTGTGAATTTTCCCTTTTTTTTTCTTTGGTTTTTCTTTTCATTGAATGTAAAATTTTCCTTTATATTTTTCTTTTATCAGCAAAATTTTAACAATTATGATTATAACAAAAGTACTTGATAAGGGATATTTTGATTGAGAATAATTACTTGATACATATGATATTGGATTATAAATTAAAAATGAATCCGTCTTTTATCCTAGTATTATAAATGTTTAATTTGAATTTTTATTTTTATTTTCTTAGTGTCCATGATATCATTTTATATTTGCTTTTCTTAATTCTTTTACATTCAAATTTGAAATTCATCTTACCCTTTTCAAAATAACATTTTTCATATCATGGAAGTGGGTGAATCTAATACTCTAATTCTTCTTCTTTCATATTAGGCTAAACTTTTTTCTTTCTTTCTTAATTTTTTTCCCATCTGGTTGGTGGAACTCAAGAACCTAATTATGAAAACAAACCATCATTGAGGCTAAGAAAATCTATGCCTAACTAAAGCAAAACCAATCAATCAGTTTCATCTCCACCTTTTGTAATCCAAATGTCAGCAACTTCCTTATTAAAGGAAATTGAAGATGAAAACAACCCTATATATATATATATATATATGTAATATTTCCAATTTAGTATTGTAATTAGATAGTAATTGAATGTATTTGATCGGATTATTTTTATTTAAAGAAATTTTATTCAAATTTGATATTTTGAATTTGATATTTAAATTATTCAAATTCACGTAATCAAATTTAAATTATTTTAAATTTAAATTATTAAATTTTAAATTAATAATCCAACGTAACAAAGTTTGATTCTTTATGCAAATATGAAATACATTATTGATTGAGAATAGAACTAAAATGTTAGACAGCCAAACTCTCAAAGTGAAGTAAAACACAAGTGGGCATTGTACTTGAAAGGCATAAAATAGGTTGTGAATTCCATGCATGTGCAGGGAACAAAGTGAGGGTCCCACATTTAGGACCAAAAGTTGCAAAGCGAGCAAGAGATGACTGGAATGAAACAAAACAAAACAGAACTAAGGTGACATTGCCAAGTAACATTGGGAACTTAAAAAAAAAAAGAACCCAAAAAAAAATAATAATAAAGAGAGAGTCTAGGAATGAAAAGAGGAAGAGTTGGAGCGAGGATTTGGGAGAGAAATGAGTGAGAAAAATATATTCATAGTAAGCTAAAGATTTGCATGTTTTTGAATTTTGACAAAAAAAAATGAATGTACAACATTTTAGTATATAATTTTTTGATCTGATCTGTCTCTCAGACAAACTAGGATTTTGAGAGAAAATCTGAAACCTCTCAGATATAGTGATCCTTTTCTTTCCACTCGCTTTTCAATATTTCACCTGAAATTTTGGCTAGGCTTATGGGTTTGTTCTCTTGACTTCCAATAACTGAGAGATTTTGGGTATCTTTTTCTAAACTTTGTTGCGTCTTCTTGTATATTTTCTCTAGATTTTCCTCTTGATATCCTTAATAATTTGATTTCAAAATCCTTGTTTCTTGATTCCAAAGATTTCACCTCTCTAAATCTCTTTTCATCAGTTTAAAACAAAAGGCTTATATGAAAACACCAACAAAAAGTTCATATATAAACAGTAACATGCATGTGAGTACCAGGCTAGGAATTGTTGGCATCTTGTTTCTGACAAGTTTTTGAGATTTGGGTGTTTGTGTAAAGTTTTATATCTTTGGGTTTTTGTTCAAATTTTTTGTTGTGAAAACTTTTGTGTTTACCATATATATGGAAGCTAGTAAAAACAATGGCTGACCAAGAAGATCAAACCCAAAGGTATAGCAATAGCAATACTAGCAGTGGTGGTGGAATTGGAAACAATATTGGTAGGTCTTCCAAGAAGCATAGGCCTAAAAAAGTACCCCAAAGGGGTCTGGGTGTGGCACAGCTTGAAAGGATAAGAATAGAAGAACAACAAAAGAAAGATGCAGCCTTAGCTGTAATTTTGCCTTCCCCATCATCTGTTATTTCACCACCACCAACTCATCATAAATCATCATATCTTTCTTTGCCAACCCCAAGTTTCCATCCTTCAAATCAAACTTCTTCTTCCGCTTCTTCAATTCCATTTCCTGCTGATATTTCACCACCAAATCCAATATTTAGGCCACCTTTATCTGTTAAAAATATTGATATTGTCAGTACCGCAAACACTGTTCCATTGACCAGTGGTTCCCCTGGGTGGCCTCCTGGTGCAGCAGTGCTTCCAGGGAATGGCAGTGTTAATAAATTTTGGAGTTCTTGTGAGTATAAAATTGAAAAGGAGTGTGCTGGGTTGGATCCAGGATTGGCTTTCAGGACAAATTTGAGTTTGCCTTATGAATCTGAATCCATTTGGCCTTTGCCTAGTTTGATGCAAAGGGCACAACCTTTTCAACAACATTATTCTTCAATGGTAAGAAAATTTATTTATTGTTGGTAGAAAAAAAATTAAGATGAATTAATGGAATTTCTTTATGCAGGTGAATTTGTCATCAAGAACTTCATCAACATCTGAACTGAATTTTCAGATGGAGCCCCCTTCAAACCAAAGCTATTATGGAAATTGTTCACCTTTATTGCCTGAAGAGGAGAAGGTATATAGCAAATTATACCTTGTAAAATTGATGTGATTTTTGGTCAGAATTTTACACCATTTTGCTTTTTTTATTAATTATAAAGGGCTCATCACTTTTCATATTGGGAAATTGACTTCTCAATTCAACTAAAAATGAAAAAAGAACTAGATTTACACTAGTTAAACCAGAGATCAATACAGAATTAGGTTTCCTTTCTTTTTCTTCTTTTCTAGAAGTCTTAGAAATGCAGCATTCTTCCTCTTTTAGACCTTGATATTTTGTAATAGTAACAAGCTTGCTTTTTGTGTGTGAATTTGGTTACAATAAATTGTAGATGGTTGGCATGAAGAGATCATATCCCTTCTCTCTAGACAATGCTCCAGGCCCCCCTATTCACATCAAATATCCTCCCATTGTTCATTCCATCAATGGAAAAGTTGAAGCTGCTTCAGCCAGCAAAGATAGCACATTCAATTCCGAACCTAGCACTCCGAATTTCAGGTTTGATTTTAATTTTAATCTTTTTGATGTAACGAAACTTGAGATCTAAGATTCAAATCTCGACTTTTCTTTTGTACCTTTCTCATAAATTTTCTCCATTTATGTTTTCTTGTATCATTTTCAGGGTCGGACCTTCATGTTCAATCTCAAATTTGGAATCAAAGTTCAAGAAAAGCATCAAACATGGGGTATTTGATGGAGATTTTCTCACATTAGCTCCTCCCACAACTACAATGTGTTCAAGCTCAAAATCCAAGCACCCTCCATCCAATTGTGAAACGCTTGACCTCGAGTCGTTAGTTTATCAAGTAAGCTTAAACAACAAATTACATCATCTCCCATTGTCATTAATTTATGCTTTTGTATGATCCTTTTCTTCTTCAATTGCTCATATAATTTTGTAAATTTGTTAAAGCCAAGCTTTGAAGAATCAAGTATCCGGCAAGGAACTATAAGATTGAACCAGTATCGACCTTACTATAGCTTCTTTCCACAAGCAATGGTACAAATTGATCGAGCAACTACAATAACAATGATCAATTGTAAAGGTGGAGAAGTAGGACATATTGATCTCAATTTGAAGCTATAAAAAGTTTAAGAGATCATATCAAATCTCATGTGCCTATTTCTTTTGTATCTTTAAGGGGCAAGTTTGTTTTTTTTTTTTTTTTTAAATGGAGAACATACCAAGAATCTAAATCTCCCCCCGTATGATTGAGCAAAAAAAAAAAATTATATTGAGCTTTTTGACTCATTATTTAAAGGTCATGTATCCTTAACAAGAATTGAATTCCCCATTTCTTAAGGATTTTTATGTATACACATCATGTGTTCGTGTGATTGTAAATAAAAATAATTAAATTGACATATGTTTATCAGAACACAATTAAAATCGTTTGCATAAAATAAAAAAATATAGTAATTAAGTTTGTAGAAAATCATCCAATTTTTTATATCATCCAGAGGAGAATAAAAATCTAAAATAAATTATAAAGTTTGCGTCTCAATTTAAATCTTGATCAAACGAAGAGAAAAATATGAATATAATATTTTTTTATAAATAAAATCATAATCTAAAAATATTAAAAAATTATAAGTGATAAATTTAAAATTTTTAACATATTAAATATTATTTATTATAAATAATTACATAAATTATTTAAATTAAATTTCAAGTTTGAAAATATTAAGTTTTGGTAAATATGCTAATTACTTGCTAGTATGATTACGGGCTTCGGGAAGGAATTGGAATTCCAATTTTTTTTCATTTAGTTTGTTGGTTTGGTTGGTAAACGTGTCACGGGTCGAGATTCAAACTTTAAATTTATGCGGTTTCGGGACTCGGGCATTCACCCTTCCGACATCTCAGATCAGCCTTCCTGCCACGGTTTACACCTTTGTGAGGTATTATTCGCTCTGACCTCCTGACCTCACAGTTTTGTCCTACAAAAGGTACCTCACAAGACAGAGGTGGTGTGAATCCTTTTATACCCCAGTGACCCTCCTATTATATTCGATGTGGGATTCAAGACTCTTCCTTAGGTCCGTGACATTCTCCCGCACCCAACCTCGTGACGCCCTCGTCACGAAGGCTGGCCACCCTACCTGTCTCCCTTGAGGTGCTTGGCGTGGATCGAACGGTTTAGGGCTGGCTCTGATACTACTTGTCACGGGTCGAGACTCAAGCTCCGAACCTGTGCTGTTTCGGAACCTGAGCATTCACTCTTTCGATGTCCCAGATCAGCATAACCGTCACGGTTCACACCCTTGTGAGATATTGTCCGCTCTGACCCCCTGACCTCACGGTTTTATCTTACAAAAGGCGTCTCACAAGGCAGAGGTTCCCAATGACCCTCCTATTATGTTCGATGTGGGATTCAGGACTCTTCCTTAGGTCCATGACAAACGGATCAGGCAGAGTGTCACGGGTCGAGACTTAAGCTCTAAATTCGTGCAACTTCGGGATCCGGGCATTCATTCATTCGGCGTCTCAAATCAACTTACCTGTTACAGATCACACCCTTATAAAATATTGTCCGCTCTGACCCCTTAATCTCACGGTTTTGTCCTACAAAAGGTATCTCACAAGAGAGAGATAGTGTGAACCCTTATATATATAAGTGACTTTCTTTTTATATTCGATGTGAGATTCAGGACTCTTTTTTAGATCCATAACATTCTCTCCCATCCAATCTCGTGACATCTTTGTCATGGAGAGTAATCACCTTATCTACCTCTCTTGAGGGGTTTGGTGTAGATCGAACGGTTTAGGGCTGACTTTGATACCATTTGTCACGGGTTGAGATTTAAGCTTCGAATCCGTGCGGTTTTGAGACTTGAATATCCACTCATCCGACGTCTCATATCAGTCTACCTGTCACGATTTATACTTTTGTGAGGTATTATACGCTTTAACCTTTTGATATCATGATTTTATTTTACAAAAGATATTTTATAAAAAAAAAATGATGTAAACCTTATGTACCTCAAAAATTTTATTTTTTATATTTGACGTGATATTTAAAATTTTTCTTTAGTTTCGTGGCACAGAGATTGGCACCTTTATTGGTAACAAGCTTTAGCACGTGGGATTTGTGGGGATCTGATCATGCTTTTAGGAACTTTGTCTTGTATTTGTAAGATGGGTCCCCCCCCCCCAAATCTGACCCTTCATTATCTAAGTTGCAGATTGGTGACGTCCATGAGGGTACACGGTGGATTATTATAAAGAAAATAAAGACAATAACATTGGTAAAAATGTAAAATAATTTCAAAGAAAAACTTTGCTTCATATTAAAAGACTTTAAGGAAGATTTTCAACAAAGTTTTATTCAGTTAAATGAACCCTCTTAGGACAGGGTTTTCATCTTTTGATTAAAAAAATATTATGTCATCATTTATATGGAGACGATAAACATAAAATATTTTTTTATTGTTATCAATTTTATATATTTTTTATTTTAAATTATATTATTTTTTTATATTTTTTCATACGATTTTATTTAAATTTACCTAGATTACTAAGTCAGCACAAATCATTTACAATGATTACAAGCAATGATTTAGATACCAATTTGAGTAGACGAAGACTTGCTATCGTAGTCCAACATTTTTAAGTCTTCTTCAATAATTAAAGCCAGTCGTTTTCTAGTGGAGCTATTATCTCTCTGGAATTCAATTCCCTAGCTTCATAAAATGTTCTTTTGATTCCAAGTTTCTGGCAAGATCAGCATCTGCTACCACAAAACAAAAATGTGCTTTTGATTAACTTGTATGATCTTCTTTTTCTTCCTTTTCATGTTATTCTTTTTCTTCCAGAATTGGGACTGGTGCAGTTTGGACCAAGAAGCAGCATGAAAATCAGCTCGAATTCTGACCGGAATTTCATCTTTGATTACAGGCACGCCTAGGATACTTTGCTTCGATCGTCTTTAACAGCTCAAATACTGAGTGTTCCACGGTTCCAGGTACTGTCTTTTTTCACTGAAATCTAGTTTAATCAAGTAAGATCTGCTATGTTACACTATACCATACGAGCAAAAGAAAACAACCAAGTGTTTGCCATTTGCATTGGTTGAAATGGTTTTTTCTCCTTGCAAAAAACCAGATTCTAACCTACAGGATAAAAAAGACTAGACCAACCCAAATTTTGCATTTTTAAACCCCCAGATTCTAAACTAATATCTGGTGTGATTTGTTCTAGACAAGCATATCATGTGTCTACTTATTTCTATTTAATATATATATATATATATATATATATGTTATGTGAGCTAGAATGATCGTAATTTGACCGATGCTTCGTTTGGATAGACAGTGAAAAGATTTCCACTGCACCGACAGCATAGTTTTGCCACTGGATCCATCCAAATGAAGCATAAAGCCTAGAATAAGGTCTTTAGATCGCCCAAAAAGAAACAGAAATCTTACACAAATGGAGCTATTTAAACTTTGGTTATTAGATAAACTGAGGAACATTGCTCCGAAAAACAAATACATCACCAGGTAACCAAAACAATAATCCAAAATAGTCTCTCTGAAAGGCAATGTCAAAGGGAAAGAGTCTCGGTAGTTTATAAATAGGGAAAACCATGAAGCTCAGAACAAACTGCTTATCTCCTACACTAGATCACATTCATGAACCTAAGACCAACCAAAGACATAATCAAGAACATAAACGAGCGCCAAAGAAAATGGATAAAGAATGTAAGCAACCCAGCATGTCCAAAGGGGGAAAGTAGTGCGGAAACTGGCAAAGGCACCCATCACGATGCAAACAATAAGAATAACCAACACTTCAGATGAGAAATCCCATGTCAATCCCCTGATGTAAACAAGTGCCAGGAAAACTGACAGGCAGAGGACGTTATTCATGGTTACTGCTCCATAAAGCTGCATCAAGAAACTTGGAGATGAGAATATTGTATGCTAGATTGATGATCAGTCAGATGATTATCAACTTTCTCAACAAACAAGTGAGGTAACAAGAAACAAACCTCAGAAAATGTTAACGATGCAGTCCTCTGCTTTTTGCGGCTAGAAAAGATAATAGCTGATACAGCTTCACTAGAGTTGGTAGCCAATGGCAATGCAATAAATGAGATGAAGAAAGATGGAATACTTGTGGCATCAGAAAAATTATCAACAGCATCTACCAGTGGATCTGCAAATGCAGCTGCAATAATGGTACCTAGCAGTAACATTAGTACTGCTTTGAAGGAGATCCACCTAGGGTTTACAACACCCTCAACAACCTCATCACTTTGTTCCTCCGACCCCAACAAATCATGTTCTCTCTTGGTTTGCTGCACATTCACACAATAATTTGAAGAAGTAGGTCTGTGTAACTTATAATATCTAGAGAAGTCATCAGTGCTCAACTTACCTGGTGAAATCGATCAAGAATCTTAAACGTTCCTGAATTAGATTCAAGATAAGCACCCCCAGTTTGCTTTGCCTCGTTAATCCACTTTGTGATTCCTTTTACAAACTCATCCTCTTGAACAAAAGAGTCACGGGAGGTATCAAAATCTGCCATTACTTTTTTCACAGCATCATCCTTATCCAAGTCTATCTCTTCAAAACGTATTCCTATAATCAATGCTTTCAGTTCAGAAAGTGAAAGAGCACCATCATGATTCTCATCAATTGTCTCAAACAACCTGCCAGATGTTTAGAGAGTCGGTAAATGTTAAAAGTACATGAAAACTGGCAGGAAGAACCAGCAGAAGTGACAAGCTTTTCTTAAATGTCAAAATTCAAAACTAACTTTATTATAATCTCTGTATTAGGTTCACCATCATCAGTAAGAAGCTTTCCTAAAGCATGCTTTCTCAAGTGTTTTAAGATTCCTGCTATGACATGTTTGTGCTTCACAAAAGCAATTCGTCTTCTCTGGATCCAAGGCTGAAAGACCTGCAAATACATATATCATAAGAAACACTTATTAGAAGAGTAAAAGTTTCATGAAGCTAATATCAGTAACTAAAAAAAATCTGTAAACAGAACAACCATGCTTTACTATTAGAATATTCCAAACCTCAGATTCAGCATCTAAACAACTAAAGACATGTAATGAAAAGTCTACCAACAGTGCAGTGCAGTAGACATAAGACTTCACCACTGGATAAACACATTTCAACCACGCAATAAGAGATTATCAGATTTTATTGTCTTCTTCATGAATGGGTATGCCAATGATCAAGAATATAACATATGATAATGGAATTCCTCCCTGGAAAACTTGTTAACCTGATAAACGCAATAAGAAACCAACATTGAGAGTGATATGATAAGTGCAATCAAAACTGCTAAGTGTCTTCCGGAAGTTGAATTGAGAGCTTGGGGTAGTTGAACAATAAGAAATGGGACAACCGATATAGCCATTATCCTTGCAGCATAGCAAGTCCAAATATCAGTACTGACACCAGTCTCTGCAATATTGGACAAACTTTAGATTAGCTAAATGGGCTTGGCGACTGCAAAACGCATGCTACAACAACTCCTCAACCAGTCATAGCTAACCATCTAATAATAATGTTAAGCAGAGTTGTGCACCTGTTGGGTTAAATCCTTTTGTATTTGTTCCATCAACTGCAACTGAATCACGAAGATCACACCTGCCAACAACAACACAGGATCCCCATATCACTGTGAGAAGCATGACAGTTGACCCAGCTAGCAACCCCATTCCTACGGAGACCTGACTTTGAGCAGTTTCGGCAGTTCCAGAAAGTCCAGATACTGGGAAGAAAAAAAGACAAGTCAATTAAAACCATTGTAGATGTAAAACTATAAAGTACATGAGGCCAGGTGATATGGCATGATAACTTCCAAACATGCAAATCCATATAAATGTAATCAAAACAAAAAGGAGAAGAAAAATCATACGCATTATTTTATGAAAACATATTATATTTCTGTAGTTGGATAAACCATTAGAAAGAACACCTCCAATAGTAAAGTAAATATCTTTCAGGCTTCGGCTAAAGTTTTGTTATTCATATATGATTTAGAACTTCAAATCATTTAGTTGTGAGAAGAATGAAGCAATTAAACAATTTCATTTTTCCAGCATCCTCCGTACTAGTTTGAAGTTGAATTTGCTTAAGTCTGCAAACAATCTTAACTTTAAACTTAGATCATCATAAACAGGAAATAGACCCAAATGGATAGTAAAGTTTACATTCTCAGCCAGCTCTCAGAATAGAAGAAGCCCCATATAAACCATCAAAAACTCCTCAAGTGTCTACTTCATGGAAATTGCAGAACCAAATGAGACGAAATTGTTTTTTATTTTATTTATCCTTTAAAAAAATCATATATTATTTATATTGTTGAATTACCCATTACAAAGAAACCTTCAATCGAAAAGTAATCATCTTTCATCTAAATTTTTGTAATTTAAATATGATTTAGAACTTCAAATCATTAGTTTTTTGCTTTGAGAAGAATGAAGCACTTAAAATTTTTTCAAGCATCATCTATCGTATTCTAAACTTGAATTTGCTCAAGTCCAAACAAGCTTAACTAATCAAATGAGCAGCAAAGCCTTCATGTTTCCGCTAAAGTGTCTTGAAATAGCAGAAGCCCATATAATTATCAGTAACTCTTTTAAGTATATAATTCCCACAAATTACCAAGCATTGGAATTGGAAACAAGAAACTTGTTGGAGTTTGCTCAACCCCCACCTTTTTGTTTTGTTAATAAAACCCATGTTTTTAAGTCAGAAAAGGGTTACTGAAAGTCCCTTGAAAGACACATTTGGCAATGGCAGAGATCAGCAAACAGCAAGAATTGATTCCCTCCACCCAGATCCGTAAGCAAAAAGTACAAATACATAAATAACAACCCAAAGTATACAGGATATTCCAATAAAAAAAACAAATATAAAAAAAATGAAAATGATATTACATATAATATGACAAAATCAGTACACTAAGAAAGAATCAAACTTTCAGTGAAGAATCATCCTTGAAATAAATTTAATAAAAAAAAAACGAAAAGGGTAAACAGTAAATAGAAAAATCAACCCGAAATTTGATAAATTAAGACCTGAATTTTCGATTTCCTTTCATAGGAAAAACACAAGATCTAAACTTTTTCAACTTTCCGCTCTTTTGAATCCACTTTGTGATTAGTCAAACAATGAATAACTCGTCATTAAAACAGAGCATTAACACATTTTTCTCGTCAACCAAACAACAGAATAAAATATTTCAAGAAAAGAAAAAAACTTTAGAGGTACCAAGAATAAGCATTGCATCGGGAAGAGCTCCCAGTATAGGCAAGAACAATCCTCCGACAATCCCGGGACCGAGGATCTCAAGCAAAAGCTCACTTCCATTGGACAAGTATGTAGCTGCTAAATACATAAGGTATCCATAAACAATAATCAAAAACAAGTTCCCAAAAACCGTGGTGGTGCAGGGCAAGAACCCATACGTCTGTTCACACGATTCCTCCGCCGAAACAAGCGGCTCGAGGAGAAGGTAAGGTGGGTTTTCAACGGTGGAGATTCCATCCGAAACGAGATCGGTTGGGGATGCACGGCCGGTAATGAAGCGGGCGTTAGATGGGCAACAAGAGAAACAAAACAGGAACAAGAAAATGAGTAACAGACCTTTTTGATTCATAGTTTTTTTTCTGTTTTGGGGAATTGAACAAGAAATGTAACTGAAGATTTGATTTATATAAACATATATATATATATATAGATATGTATTTTCGAAATAATGACTTAAATTTTATAAAAATTTTATTTTGTTTAGAATTTATTAAATATTATTCGGTAGATAAAAAAATTTTAATTAATAAATTTATATATTTATAAATAAATGAAATTTTTAGATACGATAAAAAATATAAAAAATTATAAAATTTTATTGGTGATGTCATAAAATTAGAAATTTATATATTAAAAGAGTCTATATAAATATAATACAAAAAGTACATATGAATATATATTTATTTGAGTTGATAATATTTCATAAAATTAAAATAAATTAAAAATATTTATAGGTATTGATATAATTGATATAATTTTTTGTAATTAATAAATATTTTTATCCATTAATATAATTCAATTGAATTAAATTATGATAAATTATTAATTTTTATATAATTAATTAGTTATTTAATTTTACTTTCGTTAAGATGGATATTTAATTGGATTGAGAGGTTTTGACCAAGGCATGACGTATGAGAATGGGAATTGGGGGAGAGTGAGGGCAGCGTTTGAACCGTGTTCAAGGACGGCGAGGCTGTGAGGGAAATCCCTTTATTTTATTTTATTATCTAAAGATTTTGGTAAGTAAATCTAGTTTAATTTATTTTATGTTGCATTTCCATTCTTATCCTTTCTATTTTTACTATTTATTTATATTATTAATATTTTTATTAATAATAACAAAAATAAGTAAAATTTTGAATGCATAAATCAAAAAAATAATATTTTTATTACTCATCAATAATATTATCAACTCATGAAGAATTTTAAATTGAAATTTTGAATTTTAATTGTGATGTTTATATAAAAGGTTAATATTATGAATGACTCCTAATTATAGTGAATTATTATTTAATATGATATTTAAATTTTAAAAAATTTTAATATGATATTTCAACTATAAATTTATTAATTATTATGATATTTATTTTTAATGTGATTAACTTTAAATAATAACATATAACAAATAAAAATATTCAAATATCACATTAAATAATAAATTTATAATTTAGATACTATATTAAAAATTTTTAAAATTTAAATATCACATTAAATATTTTACTATAGTTTAAAACCATTCATAACACTATCCTTACGCAAACTTATATATATGTATTAGATAAGGGATAACATATATTAGTGTAAAATTTTTTAATTTTATATTTTTTTAACAATTGATTTTAATAAATCCAATTGACGAGAGAAATAAATTAAAAACAAATTATTTAATCTAATCCCTTAAGGTTAATTTGGAACACAAAATATAATAAGATAAGATAAAAATAAGATTAGATTAAATAATATCATCTTATTTTATATTTAATTTATATAATGATTAAAATATGATAATTTATTTATTTATCAAAATTATCTTTCCTCAAAGTTTATACAATTTAAATTATTAACAAATTTTTAAGGGTGTAATTGAACATATTCTAAATTTAAATTTATTTTGTTTTATCATTTTTGGCCATAGAGTTTTTAATTAATTACAATAGTTTTTTAATCTTAGCAATTAAGTAACTTCTAATTCATTTGGCCAAAAAATATTTCTAATTAGAGTGTTTAGTCTTAGAAAAGGAAAATGAGATAAAGTAAAATAAATATCTGTTTGATCCAATTAGAGATATTGGACAGAGTGACCGGAACCATTGACATTGGAGAGTGACACAATGAATTGAGTCGTTGGTGGTGGAGCCATGGAGGACTAATACAAAGTTTTACATGAAATTTTAAATTTTATAATATCTAAATAGATATAATAGAAGGAAAAAAATTTATCCAATGAGAATTAGACATCAAAAGATGCAGCATTTCCTTTTGAATTCGTTGGGAGGTTGTGAGTAATTTTTTATAAATTCATTAAATCCAGGTAAATACATTTGTTTAAATCAACTCGAAAAAAATATAGAATAAAATAAAAAAATTATTATTTAATTAAAAACAAAATAAAAATAAGATTTATTAAAAATTTTATTTTCGAAACAAATTGATAGGTTTCTTTCTTATCAGTCATTCAAAAGAAACCTAAATAACAATCCAAATTATGTGAAAACAACTGAAATGAAAAACCAATTGAATTTGCTAATTAATACACATCACAATGTGATAATTCGAATCAACAATTCAAATGAAGCATAAAATAACAGTCTAACTCATTTGAAAGCAATTGTAAATGAGAAATTAAAAGAAGTATGAAAATTTTGTTGGTTGTCATGCCGTAGATAATTGTCCTCCATTTTTTTTTTCTCCGACCAACTTCCCTATGGGCAATGGAAAGAATGATACGTCAATCTTCATTGCCGACACTTATCAATATTGGATATGTTGTGCTAGTGCGTAATGAGAATCGTATTACACTTTGAGTTCCTTTTCTTCTGGATTTTTATCTTAAGTTTTGAGATGCTGAATTTATGACAAATTTTTTTTCTTGCCCAATATATTCCATAATTAGTTCCATTCCTTTGTGACTTTTTAGATTACATTTGATACACAAAATTATGATAAAATAAAATAATATAATATTATGAATAAAATTAAATTAAATGATATTAAATTATCTTATATTTAACGTATAAAAAAATTAAAATAAAATAATTTATTTATTAATCAAAATTATTTTTTTAAAATTTATATAATTTAAATTATTGATATAATTTTTAAAAATATAATACAATATATAAATTTAATCTTATAAATTAAAAATAATCTATTATTTTTAAAAAAAATTATTCTATTATTTTTTTAATAATTCAATCATTTTATTTAAATTCATATTCAAATATTGCATAAAATAATTAATATTCAATCATTTAATTAGTCTTACGTGTCGATTATAGCCTTACAGTTACCGACAATTCAGCTCCTGACAAAAGTTCAAGAATAAAAAGGAAACGTCATTGTTGAGTTGGTCCACCATGGTGGAAAAAATATAAGTGAACATAATTTTTTATTTAAAATTATTAAAATTAAAATTTTAATATTTTATAAACAAATGACAGGATCTATTAATCGAACCCAATTCTTTGTATATTGTCATAGTCATTGATTAACACATTTTCAATTTATTTGCATAAATTATTATTGATTTTTTTTTATTATCATTTAGGTACTGTTTATTTTACGAAAAATAATTTTAAAAAAATGGTATCTGAAATCAAAAGTCAAATTCTTTAAGAAAAAAAAAAGACAAAAAGAATTAGATTTTTTATTAGAATTTCATCGGATCAGATTTGGACGGTGTGATGTAACGTGCGTAGCCTTCGGATTCACTTATTGCTACACGCGGCGTCACGATGGATTGGCCAGGACTGTGATTTGATGAGTTATTTGGATTTACAACAACTAACCAAATTCATTTATTATTGGAATAATAAAATAATCAAAGCAAAAAATTTTAATTTTTATATATAAATTCATCTTTATTTTGGAAAATAAAAAGGGTGTTTCTTTTAACTCTAGGTTATTATATATTTTAAAATGTTAATTTTGTTAATTAACAAGTGTTTATGAGTATAGATTTAAGATTCATTTCAACGGAATCGATGCGTATCTTTTTATATTGATGCTCGAAAATAATAATTGATTTTAAAAAAATAATTTTAAATATAAAAATTTTAATTTTAAATTTATTAAATATTATTTTTTAAATTATTGTTAATCAGATGCAAATCACATTTGACAGATTGGTAAGGATTCCCTCTACTCCTTTATTTACAAATCCTAATGTTGAAGATTCATGGACCTTTTTTGTTCTAGTACTTCAATTTGAACCTAAAAACTACTCAATATATTCTAAAATTTTTATTGTAAAATTAACCTTTAATAAAATTATTTAAATACTTATTGCTCTTTTTTTTTTATCTTTCACATCATTTTCTTGTTCTTAGTAAGTTTTGACAATTTATGTTTGAAAAAATAGTTATTCACCAAAATTTGATTTTTGAAATTGAATAAAAATGATTGAAAATTCATTTTCGAAAACTTCTTTAATACATCACAAATGCATTTTCGAAAGTAATTTTTTGTTTTAGTTTCTTTGTTGTATTAAGTATAAGAAGGTAGATTTCAATATTTTGATCAGTGTTTGGCATAGAAAATATTAGATATACTTTATCGTGATCTCAAAATGGGTCTCTAATGATTTTTTCGATGTATAAGTTGTTTAAATCTAACAATAGAGACCTTTAATCTTTCGACTAAGCAATGTCCATTCAATAAAGTAAGCAAACTATTAAAGGTCCCTACTATCGGATTTGTCAGTCTGTTGATAACATTGTTAGGGTTAATGTTTCTTACGATGCCAAATTATTGTGCCATGAGCAATGGCTTCCACAAACATCTTCAATGCACCAAAAATCTATTTTCAAAAGCCTTTTTTCGAAAGCCTTTAAAGGCTTTTGAAAATGGATGTCATGAAAACCATTAAGAAATTTCAAAAATCCACTTCCTAAAGTTTTTAAAGGTTTTTGAAAATGGATGTCTAGAAGCCTATAAGGGATACCAAAAATGAATTTCCTAAAATTTTTAAATGATTTTGAATATCCATTTCCAAAAACTTTCAATAATTTTTGGAATATTCGAATTACAATCCAAAACTTAAAATTTTAAATATTACGAAACTAAATACAAAATCAAATAAAAAAGCAAAAAAAACAAATGATTAATCTTTGATCCTAAGCTATCTAACGTCAAATGGGTGATTGAGGCTTAATTTGAAACTTAATCCTTTAAGGTTTTTAGGGTTTTCGATTGGAAGAGATAGAGAGAAGAGATAGGGTGTTTGGGTTTTAGTAAAATTGTGTTTTGGATTTAGAGTATATTAAGTAAAAAATTAGATATTAATAGTAATGAGATGTATTGAAAAGAAGTTGGGTTGCAATAGCAAATCTCCTTTTGTTCATGTACATCTTTTTTTTTTTTTTTGGAGGACAATAATTAACTACATGTTAATTTTTTTTAGTT